TGTCCCCTGTCATAAGCCAGCTGGACTCACCACTGAGCCCTGATGGGAGACGGGGATGGCAGACAGAAAGCCACGTGGTCACTCTCCGTCCAGCTGAGGCTGGGGGCACCCGATACAGCCACGCCAAGGGGACGTACCCCTCTGTGAGCACCCCACGGCTCCCGACTCCCCCCAGTGTACCCTGCACAAGGACACTGTGAGCTGCACACGGGGGACAGTCTGGCCCGGTGCCTGCGAGACCAATATGCCATAAGCAGATGGATGGAGGAACACTGGAGGTGGCCTGGCCAGGGCCTGGGCACACCGCACGGGGACAGTGGGAGAACAGCAGCTCCCTGGTTCCTCAGGGCCACCCACACACCCCAGCAAGCTCCCCTCTCACAGCATCTTCCCTTTAAGTAGCTCACTGGAGGCGACCACATGGCTGGCCACCGTGGGTCCTAGGACCCAGAACGTGGACGCACGCCTGCTCATACAGTCGCCTGGCTTGGCCTTCTCCGTCGCCAGGCTCAGTGACCCGGTCCCCACAAGCCACCTCACCTGGAACACCTGTCCGTCCACGGCTGCGTAGGCCTTCACTGCGTGCTCAGGGAACATGAAGGTGACAAAGGCGAAGCCCTTGGGCTTCTTGGTCAGGCTGTCGATGGGGTAGTGGAGCTCTGATAGGGGACCTGAGGACAGGGGAGGCGTTAGCCTGCTGGAGCTGGAGCTGGGCCTGAGCTCAGGGTGAGAAAGGCCCGGGCACTAAGGGGTCGGCCACACGAACACAGAACAGCTGTCCTGTGCTAGTCACCAGGCCCAAGGTCAAGGGCGTCATTTCACAGTTCCTCGTGCCTACTAAGAGAAGTTTAGGTAGGAGGGGCACCTGGCTCTATCCCCATCACGTGCAGCCTGCCCTGGGCCGGTCACCTCACTCACTCAGGTCTCCTGCCTGTGAATGGCACAACAGTCCCCAAGCAAAGGGCGGCTTCGAAGGTCTAAGAGTCAGTGTGTGGTTACTACCCAGCACTGGCTACACTTAGTGCTGCGAAAGTGTTTGTGACTCTGTCCTACTCAGAGGACAGTGTCTGCAGTGGACACTCTGAACACCACGATGTGACTGCGTTCCCTCTGTGGGTCTTCCTCTTCCCAAATGGGCACTTGGAGCCTATGGATATTCCTCTCAATTTAGGGGCCTGCATTTCGATGGTTTTTTTTTTTTTTTTTTAATTTGGTTACTATGGACAATCCCCCTCCTGTCCTGTGTAGCACTGCTGTGTAGCCTGGGCACCAGCGTGGGTGGGAGGACCTGGGGAGCAGGACAGCATGGCCAGACCTTCAGGTCCCGTGTGGGACCTCTGTGGACGTCACGCTGTCTCTGATGCTCCACGTCCAGG